ATATAATTCTATTCGGTTGAGCGAAGTGAATAAGAATGGAATTATTTTCTCCTAGGGGGTGACACTGTATATATTGTGTTAGTTGTGATATTGGTAAGAATTGTGGGTAAGTTACGATAGTTGTTCATTCGACCAGTAAGCGCAGACTAGTTGACACGTAAATTTTTATTTTTGTTTTTCAATTTTTGTTTATGGTTTTGTTGCTTTAATTTGATAAGTACCTGTGATTCTTTTTGTTTTATAACTGCATTGGTTTTTGCTGCAGTGGCTATTTTTATTTTTTCAATGTTTTGTTTTTCAAAATAAGTACAGTGTATGTTGTGTTAGTGTGTAGGAGTACAGTGTACATGGGGCATATTTGGGGGTGCGATTTATGTTTATCAAAATATTGATTAAAGGATTGATATATGTTTGGGAGGTAGTTTGCACATGTGTAGTGAAGAGATGAGTTCGGAGAGTCGTTGAGAGGTGCTCTCTTGGTGATTCCCTACGTACGAGAGAAATGAGTGCTTGGGTCGTGGTATTTTGTTAAATCCCTATGTGAGGGAAAGATGAGCTCGGAAGAGCTGTTTGGGATGTGATATCCCAGTGATTCCCTATGTAAGGGAAAGATGAGCTCGGAAGAGCTGTTTGGGGTGTGATATCCCGGTGATTCCCTAGGTAAGGGACAGATGAGCTCGGAAGAGCTGTTTGGGATGTGATATCCCGGTGATTCCCTATGTAAGTGAAAGATGGGCTCGGAAGAGCTGTTTGGGATGTGATATCCCGGTGATTCCTTTTTTTATATATAAAAGGGAGAGATGATACAGAGGTTTAGTGAGGAGAGGGTCTCCTCGTATTTATAATTTATTTATTTAATTATTTATTTATATTGTTTGTTTGTAAATGATTGAAGATGGTTTGAAATAAAACTTGTGCGATAACTGCGTCCATATGCACTTAATATGTTGTTTGTGTTGTTTCATTATTAATGTTATGCAGTGTCGGTTATTGTCTAGAAGAACCAACCCCTAGCTCGCTGAGATGAAGAGCTTGGTCGCAATTAAGTGGTCATCCAAGCGTTAATTGGCCTTCAATGCGCGGTGGCTTCACTGGACTTCAGTGGATCTTTGGATAGTAACGGTAGCTCTGTCTTGTAGTTAAGCACTTCATTCTTGTCTTAGTCCGTGTTCATAGCCTTTTCGGCTTTCTCATATGCATGATGAAGACATACAGTACAGAAACCATACATGAAGTGTCTGACTGCTTTGGATAGATCTCATGTGGGATGTTTTCATTTCGCAAAAAGACATATCTCAAGATACCGGTAGGTTATCCGAAAAATGTTTTTATCATGCATAGGAATTACGTTATTCCACAGTTAAACAACTCTAGTCTGTATTTCAACAGGTATATGTTAGAGAAATGCCAGCTTCCAAAGTACAGGCATGTTAGATGCATGTAGCCCTGTTAAATTTCTTTGCAATATTGTTCGAGAAAACTTTTTCATAGGGTGTTTTCTCTCCGATTTTCCTGTCCCTATATATCCCAGCTAGAAATAAGAATATAATCGACATGAAACAATTTACGTTGTTAACTGTTAATAGGTAGAGGTTGAAATAATAGAATTAGTTATGAACAGTGGGCTTCAATTACACAATGGTAATGTCATATATTAGATCTATATAGCAAATACAAGATGCTTCTAAATGGATATTCTTCTAAAATTATGAAACATGTTTCAGGAGATAATTCCCTCTTTATTTAATTGGAATAATTACTAAGACATTATTGTTAGAAACGCACTTTGTTTATTTTCATAAATGTTAATAATATGGGTGAAAGGTATACATGTAGTTCATTAACTTAAAGGGTCGTTCCATGGGATTTTCCAGCCAAAATAGATTTTCCCGGGAAAACAAGGAAATTTCCGTACTCTCTCATGAATTATCCATGACTCTCTGCACTTGGATTCGACCTTTAATTAAATTTATAAATGTTGATTTAGTTTAAAATGGCTGGCCAGTCATTATAACCAGCAACCATCTCCCATGTCTCTCTCCAGAAAAAAATTAATATATAGGCAAACATTTGCAATACAGATGTCATAAATCCAGGACAGGCATGACTTAGTCCTAATTTTTATGGCTGGTATACTGACATTAATGTGTTGATACAGTACGCATGATAGATATGATGCATCCAAAGCCTCTCTCCCAAAACTAATAAAAACCAAAACGATATCTATTTTATTTGCACAGGGCAATCATGTTTTCGTATTTTCAGATTAATCTAAACCAATAAATATGTACGGGATTTTGTGCAGTGTAACCGCCATTTTGGTCTTTATAACACCAAACGTCATATCCTCTGATACCAATAACATGAAAATTGGGACAACAACAACGCCCTCTATCACAAATGGATCGGTCTCCCAGAGACATAAAAGCGGCAACACCACCGAGACCACGCCTACTTTCACGGAGACCTCGCCTATATCCAGCATAAACCAATCAGGCACGACCAACAACAAGAATATCGATAACGCCACTCAAACCACGGCTACTTCTACCGCGTCCACGCCCACAACCACCGGTGCCACGCCCACTCCTGGAGTTCAAGGATGGATCATAGCCACTGCCGTGTCAACCAGTGTTGCTGGGCTGCTGATTCTGTGCTGTGTTGGAGTCTGTGTGTATCTGTGCTGTCAGGATAATGAAGATTGCTGTCTGTGTTGTTGTTGCAAGGACTACGACGACTGCGAGGAATGTCGAGAGGGATGTAGAGATTGGTTTTCTGATTGTTGCGAAAACTGTTTCTCGGTAATTTTTTTCTATCCAGTATCCTCTCTATCCACAGTCGTGGCATCCAATTAAAATAACAGACATATTCTATTTCCAGTTGCTTACTTGAACTACTTTTTTGCTAAGGAAACGTAATGATATTTAAATGATATCAAAAAATGCATCGATCAAATCATATTGATCATCTTACAGTAAATCAGTAATAAGTACAATTAATAAGTGAAGCAATATGGATTAAAAAAGAACTAAGGGAAGAAATATATTGAGTTGAAGTTAATATGCTTTTAGTTTATTAAATTTGGACTTATTTGTATTCATCAATCAATTCATATCATTCATGTAATACTGCATGTTTATTTTCTTCTCAGAGGTGCGTATGCAAATCAGATCCCGAAGCCACACCCATGGTTGCACAAGCTGAAACGGAGATTACAGAACCTGTTCATTTTATATCTGTTCATCTGCCAGACGGACAGAGTCTGCGCATGTCCGTTAGGAGCACGGATAAAATTCGAGTCATAAAGACCAAAGTCATTGAACTTGTAAATCTACCCCTTTATTACGTGAATGTATATCATGGTCTTATGCCGGGCGAATCAGACAGTCTTGACGAAGACATATCTTTCACGGGTTATGGCATTTACTTTGGAACAGACCAAGAGTTTACGGTTACCTATACCTCACATAGTGTTCTTGTCCAATTTGCCGATGGCAGCCTTGAAGAACAATCTTGGGATCCCCTTCTTACCGTCGGAGATTTTTTGAATATGATTGATCTTAAATCACAAGCAGCACGCAAGGATATGCTTCTGATAGAAGCCCAGTGGGAAGGAAGAGCTGCACTCCAAGAATTGGTCGAATCCGACAAGAAGACTCTTCTATATCGTCTGCGTAAAATAAAGGTGTCTGTTTCATTCCAAGTCGTGTTAAAGATAATAGGACAGAACACCCAAATATCGGTTAAAGTGTTCCCAACGGATACAGTAAACGCATTGGCGAAGAACTTTCTGAAGGCAGTTATTTTCATTTACGAAGGGACACAACTCGGGAGCGACAAAACGTTGAAGGATTATGGTCTCCAAGAAGGGTCGGTTGTGACTGTTGGCTGGTCAGTAAAGGTTTCTGTAGCACGTGGCGGTCAAATATATAAATACTCTTTGTTGGCAAGCAATGTCGTCGGCGAACTTAAGCAGATTCTGGCGGTGGATACAGACATTCATCTTTTTGAACAACACCTTAGTTTCAATGGTAACGTTCTTAGTGACGATAAGATGTTAGCCGAATACCTGACCTCCAAAATGGAAGAGGAAATGGACATCATTCTTACCAGTCAACCCTGGAGAGTATCAGTGCTGCTCCCTACCGGTACTTTGAGAGACTATCAAGTTTCACCAAATAACAACGTGGCTTTTTTGAAAAATCAAATAGAGGCAGACGCAGACATTCCTGTTTCACGCCAGATCCTACAAATTGGTCGAAACGATTTAGCAGACGACGGACTGCTCTGCGATTCTATAGTACCCTCCAGTAGTCTAATCTATCTGAAAGAACAGATTGCCCTAAAGTATTCCTCAAACTGGACACCTGTCAGTGCCAGATGGAGGCCTTTCTTTGAAGAACTTCTGCAGGTCAGCGACGGGAACTTGAAGGAAGTGAACAACGTATGTTTCAGCACAAAGATCGACAGATTTAAAATTGGATCGTAAGTATAGAGAGGTGTGCTGTATTTATTCAGTTTTGTATAATCTTTTGGTTTGATTGTGGTATCATTTTAAAAACGTTTATGCTCCCAATCGGGTTCTGGTGGTGGTTTTAATATTTTAGTTATGTTTATAGACGCGTTCCCGTTCACTAGAACATGCGAAAATGAATAAAACTGAAATGAAATACTTAGATAAAGTCTGTGTGTTGTGTGCTTTAGTGTTTAGCTTTGCTGATGTTGTAAATTGAAGTATGTTTTCTATCATAGTAATTTAATACCGACGTACTAGTGTAAATGGCCAATATTAAATTACTGCCACACGTCTTTCATTTGTTCTTTTATCCGGGGCGAGAGTCATCAATCGTGGTTAAAGTTTCAGAATCCTCAGATTAGATTATTATATTTTCTTTTCAGCGGCAACAAAACTGAGGTGTTTCTGGGTATTCGGCATGATGGGAGAGAGGTCGCCGTAAAAAGATTCCCCAGGTCCATGTCACAGAACTTCAAGAACGAGAAAGGCTTGTTAACTACATTGGATTCCCCAAATATCATCCGATATCTTGATATCGCCATGGATGACGAGTTTCTGTACCTGATTCTTGAGCTTGGAGAGTTTACTCTCAATGAATTCATATCTACAGATGAGTACAAACAAAACCAGACCAACATCTCCCGAGAACTCGTAGGGCAAATCTTGGAAAGCCTCAGAACCTTACACACTGGGCACAACGTTATTCACATGGATATCAAGGTAGATACCCACACTCAGCAGTCAGTGAATTTTGGGAATCCCGGTATACTGGGGGGTACTTTTTTGTTCCTGTCAACAGTTCATCGTAATACATGTAATATCATTTGGGCTTTTCCAAATTTTATTCTTAAAATGTTGACACTTATTTTTTACTTGCAAATAAAACTTGCGTGCCAAAATTTTCATGTAAGTAACTGATGGTTAGTATGCAGAAAAGTATAAATCCGTCTTATAATTATGGATTATACAAATGTAGTAACATTAAGTAATATTCGCCACTTTCAGCCCCACAACGTTCTAATAGATATCAGCAATCGAGCAAAATTGTCTGATTTTGGCATAAGTGTAGTCCTCCCGGATAACCAGAGTACTTTCTACACTACTGCTAAAGGTATATTACAGTTTTTCTACCATCTTGTGTATATCTATCTGTCTGTCTGTCTGCCTGTCTCATGATATTATATTTTTGGCCACAAGGATATAGTAGACGTATTATTAAAAGCTCTGATTTATGTTACCCATTACCAATTTATAGCATTTTAAAAGGCCGTGCTGGAACATGTATTTACATTGCTGCTTGTGGTTGTTATGTGTTTGGTGTATCTTCAGGGACATACCACTGGGTGGCAAAAGAGATACTGGATAGCGCCACTGGGAAAGTCAAATACAAGAAAAATGCCGATATTCAGGTAAAATTACAGTTAACTACATAAACTTGTCAACAACTATCCTAATGAAGATGTCATGGATACACGTACACGTTTATTATTGAAGTAGATTTATAAGCAGTCATCAGCATGATTTTTTTAAATTTCCTTTATACGTACATGGAAATTTGTGATTACTATCACTATTTTGTACCGGGGTATAGTTATTGACGAGCCGTGCATTATGTATAGCTTACATATACATGTATGTGTGTTAAGTTTTAATTTTAAAAGCGTTTTACATCTGTTGCCCTTGCAGGTAGCCGGGATGTTAGTCTACTACACACTAACAGGTGGCATACACCCATTTATGCCCAATGGCGAGGCCGACGTGTTTCTGTGTAACAAGAACGTTCAAGATGGAAAACATGACCTTTCAGCCTTGGACGACATCGTTGGAAAACATTTAGTGGACTGGATGCTGCAGCCAGACCCTGAGCTGAGGCCGACCATTGAGGAGGCACTGGCGTAAGTTTTCTTTTTGATTCGTCTTTTCCCCTTTTTGAATAGATTTATTTGGCAAAAAAAAAAAAATAATAATAATAAATAAATAAAAAAAATAAATAAAAATAATAATAATAATAATAATAATAATAATAATAATAAAATAAATAAATAAATAATAATAATTATAAAAATAAATAATAATAATAATAATAATAATAATAATAATAATAATAATAATAATAATGCAAAAATGCAATAATAATAATAATAATGCAAAAATGCAAATTAAACAATGCAGAAAGATAATAATAATAATAATAATAATAATAATAATAATAATAATAAATTTAAAGCAACTACAGCTACTTGCACGCTACAAGATTAAAGACGCACTTTCCAGTTAAAGAATCGTTTTCACTATCTACATCTGAACCAATAATAACTATAAATATATGGTTAGTTAGGTGTGTGTAATGTTGTCCAAAAACATGAAAGCACTTAAACGCATACTGACAAGGGAATATTTTTTAAAAACGTTTCACTGGTAAGAATTTAAGTACAGGGAGTTACATGGTAAATGTGCAGTAAATATTGATATATCTCTCATTAACAGGCACCCGTTCTTTTGGAATGTGGATATGAGGTACCGTTTTCTTGGTGTGTTGGGGGACGAGAAGGAAGTGAAAGAAAGGTAAAACAGAGGGATGTTAATAATTGTATACGTTTAATGAAATAATTAGCTGTGACAGAATGTTTAAATGCAAACCAGTAGTACTTTGCTTCGTTTTACATAAATCTCATGTCCTTTACTTTCCAGATTGTATTTTTTATCTTAAACATTAATGAAAGCATTTCTTTTAAAGTCTTAAAACTGAATATTAAATTTGATAGTCTTCTGATATCAGCCCGTTTTAGAAGACGTAGATGGATTGAAGAAAATGTAAGAATAGAATATCAGCAGTATACTAATGCGAGCAGTTTAATAATATTTTTTTGTTTACAGTAAGAACAGCCGTTATCTATGTGCTTATTGATTTGTACAAAATCCATGTTAATCCACTGAATATATTTCAGTTGGAAACAACAGCCACATTCCGTAACGTTGACACTGGATGGGTTGACGGTATCCGTGTTTAACACAGTAGCACACTGGGTAGGTCTTTCTGGTTTATTATTAATAATTTTGCGTCTGCGTATACTTGAATGTGCTTCCGCATATACTTGAATGTGAATAATCAGTGTGTTATTGGCGTACATGTAATATTAGGCTTATTATTCTACGTTAACTCATCCGGAGAGATTGGAGGAAGGGAGAGGGAGAAAATCAATGGGGGCGACCCTATCTTTTTCCAGTACGAATGTCACTGCCTTCTAAAAACTGGCCAAAAACGACACATGTCCTGTAAGCTCTGTACTGTAAAATTCCCAGTATTTTTATCACCTTTCAAACTGTACTCAGCTTGGTGAAATGTTATGAAATCAGTCGTGAAATTTAATGTATTTTCGTGTAGGCCATTCCTCTATACTATGCTACTCTATACTGTACAACAGCCTGAATGTATACGCAAAAGTGCCCCCGTCACATAACGAATCGTAGTCCATCTCATCTTCCATCTTTGAATGATTGAAAACGCACGCACACAGATTGTATCTGTGTGACAAAAATAGTCATACATTATAATGTCAAGAATTAGTATTTTATTAATGACGTATGACGCCTCCTCTTTTCAGAAACAATTTATTATTTTATTATCGCAGCACGTGTGGCATTGGAAATTCTATTTCACCATCTGTATATTGTACTGACGAAATAAATATACCGAGTTTCAAACAATAATGTTTTGCAGAAAGACTTGCTCGATCAAGTTGTTTATGACGAAGTTTCAAAACCAATGAGAAATGGCTACAGGTCTACCATATGCGGACTTCTTCGATTTATGCGAAATGTGGACGTCCACCTTAAAGACCAGTAAGATTAATGACTTATTTTTGCAAATCTTACTCTCAGTATGTAGCATTAAATATGCTCATGCATGTATGGGAAATTTTTAATAAGGTGGTTTCAGCTCATTTAATCGGACATCTTAGGGTGATAACTTTATGGGGAAGAAGCTATGGAAGAGGAACAAGCCTTTATGACTTGCATCGTTAAAAAGCTTATTCAGAGAATTATGTCAATCAAATAGAATAATATATAATATATAATCAAATAGAGTTAAGATAAAGTACTTCTAAACTTTACAAACCAGTTATTAAAGAGGTAGAAAATGAGAACTGCATGTTTCAATGAGATTGCCCTTTTGTCCATCGAATTATTCCACGCGAGTTGTAAAGTGTTATAATGTTTTTTACGAAAGAGGATTTTTATTGCCAATAGGTATCAAACTGATGATACTGTTCAACATTTACGAGAGGACTGCATGAGCTGTGCTTTTTTCCACTTTTACTCGACAGGAAAATTCCTGTCATTCTCCCGGGTCTTTGTAATTATCTGTATATTAAAGAAAAATGGAGATTTTGTACGTTTCATGAATATTTTCCAGACCGCCCACTATACAAACCACTGTAGGTAATCCCATGACGTACTTCACCGCCAAGCTGCCTTTTGACGAGCTGTTCCTGAAGGTTTACAAAACGGTGAGAGACACCCGATCTTCTGCTGATGACTGGACTGTTAGAGGGTCACTGAAGGAATTCTTTCCAGCATAATGTTAATAAATCAAGATGCCAAAATGGAAGATGTAAGTCGTAAAGAAGCGACGCAATATGAGGATTTCAACAGCCATTTTGATTAAATTTTTTATTCAAAATTGACCTCATAAGAGACTTAAGGGTAAGATTTTGCCCTTGTAAAACTTTGATCAAAATTTGGTTTTACACTGGGAATTTAATGATAGTAATTTCTGCGAAGTTATTATATTCAGCAACCAGAGATCGCTGGCGGGCAGAGGATTACGGGTCACAGCTGTATAGGTGGGTTGTGCCATATGTTAATAGCTTCTACAGTAGATCGTATTATAGATACTAAAGATGTTAGAAAATATTTTAGTTTTTATAGTTAAAAAATCAACAAAAAGTTTTATTGTGAATGAAACAGCGATTGCAACATTCATTTTCCACTTTGTATTACATGTATCTTTTACCAAATTACAAATGTCAATATTAACCTATTTTTATTCTACATTTTATCAAAGTAGAAGTACCATGTATAAAATTTAAAAGCGGTTTTGCCTCTATGTACGTATGATACATGTATGTTTGAATTGCTTACATCCATAATGGTTATTGCACATGTTGCTGGGCGGCATGTTGTTTCCAGTAAATATATTTAGAAATCTCGTTTCATTAAAATTCAAGCTTAAATGATCCTTCCAACGCAATTGTTTTGGCCAATTGTGGCCTTTCTTCTTGAATTTATTTTCAGATTGAAATATACTTCCACCAACTTTTGTTATAATGGACCAGAAAGCGTTAGGCTGATATCTTGCAAGTACTAGTTTTTCAAATAACTTTTATTTTCATCAGAGGGAATAAAATATTCCAAAATATTGGCTTTTTGTTTATTATTAGAAAAACATTTTATACAACGTTAACAACCATTTTAACTTCCCTAAGTCCTGTCTTAAATCGGCAAAAACAATGATTCTTTTTCAATGTAACGTTTTACTTGTTGAAAATGAAATACATACTCAATGCAAAAAAAAGCAAAAACAAAATTTTGCAAATGGTTTTATGATATAAATACGAAGTGTTTTTTTCTTGCAAATTTTAGCTGAACATTCAATCTAAGGGAATAATGATGACATTTTTTTCACCAACAGCAGCTTGACTTTTCTATTAAAAACAGTTTTAATAAGAATCATAATTAAAGGGTTTGCAGTTAATACCGCTATGATTAACATTAACAAGAATACCCCGGTATTATCCGAATCAAATGACAGTTTAAAGTTACTGCCAAGCTTATATAGAAATAAATTCACAATGCAACAGTAACCTTACGTCAGACACTGTAGAGAAGGGGAATGCCGCAGTTAACGCTGCTCTTGTAAAGGTGCAACAATATGTACATGTACTGTATATCCTTAATATGTCTATGCTCCTACTTATTTATCTTTCCATATATACTTATCTAAATTTTGCCATTGTCTTTGACTTGATAACGTTGACAAGCACTTTGTAGGTCAAGCCTTTTTGCAGTTATCCTGCAGTTATATCTCGTGAAGATTTCGACCTCATAGCTTCATTTTCATGTATATGCTTTTAAGTCAACAAGGTAAGTAAAGTTGGTTAATGCAGCTATCAGCAAGTTATTCGAGGTGAAATTTTAATATGGATTTTCAACCGACGCCATTCGATTGTTGTTAAACGTGATGCATACATGATTGCATGTCGTGTTGTTAGAGTTTTTATACCCTGATCACATTCAGTATAAGATATATGAACTGGACAAACCAGAATGAATTATAAATTTATGTCAAAGTGAACGGAAATGAGTTAAATATGCCAATGAATCATGTGATCTCTTCCCTTCACGTACTCCTTCACAAGAAGTGAACACTTAATTGCATCAGATCTAAAAAGAAAACATTGACTAAAACACAGTGTGCGTTTATTGCACATTCAAGTTTCAGCAATGCTGTAATGTTTCAGCGAATGTTGACAGCCTCTGATTTCCCTTAAGTTATGATCAAACTGATTCTAGAGATGCGATTATGGTATTCTCTCTAACCCGGACTGGCTTTTTCAGTGACGTATTCGGGCGCTGTTGAATAATTTTTAGTCAATAAAAATATATATTCCACCATTGTTTCACATTTAAGATCTAAGTGTGTTTATTTAACCCCTAGATCAGCATTCTGCCCAAGGAATCACTATTTATATAGTCCATGAGCACTGATACAGATTTGTCGTATCGAGGTCAGACGTGACAAACCCCCATGCAAACAGATATTTTACCAAGTTAACAGTTATTATATCTTTTTTATCTTTACTGTTTAAAGGGGGTCTTCCCGATATGAGAAAAAATGAAACATATCCCAAACTTTTTCTTATGTATGAAGGTCACGATCTAAACCAAAATTCGCCTTTGAGGTAGACGGCAAATATTTCACATTCGAGTCTGTATTGGAGAACGTCCTCTCCCCAAAACAGAGAAGACGTCTACCGCAAGGTTTTAGCCAATCAGAGTGCGTTGCCTGAAATAGCACTCGTACACAAGGAGAAACAAATATGGCGCGGTGGAGTTCGAAGTAAGTCGTTTACAGATGCACGTTAGTTACAACTCTCTCCCTTCATTGTTCGTGAACAGGTTTGTGCACTTAAACATTAAAAGAATTCATTGAACTTCTCGTCGGTTAAAATAGTCCAAAAATCAACGAATGGCTTGGAAATATTTACGACGGAGTGTAGCCTATTATGTCAACAGTGCTTGATACCGTAATTCTCAATGCCGATTCACCGAATGAGTAACTTTTACCAGGAAATATACCGGTGACATGATTAGAGACAGTGATAGTTTTCGGGTGAATAGAACCAACCCTTTTATTCATAATTGTGCATGGAGATTTAACCTGGTAAGGGATATAAGAAAGCCCAAACGGATTTTTTAAAAAGAATGTTGGGTGTAAAAAAGAGCACTACTTATAACTTAGCTCATTGTACATGTATATAACTTAGTATATTCTGAAAAGCGGGAGATACCCAATTCATTTAAGTATGAAGCTACAATTTTTTTTAATATTGATTTAAATCCCCTCTTCGAAAAATTGTATTATCACACCGTGCTATAAAGATCTACTCAAGAAAAAAATTGCTTGGATAAAATTAATTACAGAATGAAATGGAGACACTTTGCTTGTCATTAAGTTTTTACGAAAATATGTCAGATAACTTTATGCTGTCCTTGAAAGTGTAAAGATTGAAAGATTATTGTATAGAAACTCCGACTGGGGAAATATCGACAAAGAGTAAAGGGCTATTGCTCCAAAATCTTGTTGAAAATTTTACACTGCAATTCTATTTAAATTAGCTAAGGAACTATTTGCAAAATTCAGACTTTCATCACAAATCAGGGGCGTAACCAGACCTGCAAAAATTGTACGCACAGATTTAAAAAAAATTCAAGCACGTACAGCAAAACATGAAGGACAGCGTAATCACAGCAAATGTACCTCATACAGTAGCTTAATTTCCATTAATAATAAAATCACCATTTAAGTCAAAAATATTCTCGCGATCTAATAAATATTCTAATTTACCCAGAACGGTGTATTTATTTAAAAGGAGGCTAACTGAAATATAGTTTTAGTATTTGTTTGTGAAAATTGCCCATGTCACCCTGTTAGTTTGGAAGTCTAAGCTGGATCAAGTCCGTGTTAAAATTCCTATGAAGCTGTGCAGGAAAAATTCTTCCTTTGTTTCTCTAGCTCCTCGATAAACCTGCTGTTCAGATTTTATCTAGTACCCCCAGGTCTTCGGGAGCTGTTTTTTTTTTAAACTAACGCACGTGTAGATTTTTACCTGAGATAAATATCGCCAGCGAGAGTGCGTTCGATTCTTCGCAAGACAACGGCCCCAGGAGAATTGAATGCCATTTAACCCTCTAATAAAGAGGTAAAAGAAAGTTAGATGGATGATTAAGATAGGACTTGTAAAGGTAACAGGCATTGTTTACCTCAGTTTAATGAAAGTATGCAAGACGGGGTGTCAGCGATTCAATTAAATGAATTGAATTTCACAAACAACATGGACCTTATATGCAATAATCAACAGTACCCTTAAGTCATTCAAATGCAGTGTTTTATACAACTTGGGATAACCATAATTGAATGCTTGTTAAAGAATTGAATAGACGGGAAATGGTTTTACACAGCTGCACGAGGATTTAGACCCCTCGGGTAAGAGATATAAAGGAGTATAAACTTTTATCAGAAGCCAGAAAGGTCATCTTACAGGTAGACAATGCAGCTCAGTTTGACATCTAAGCACGCTCTCTTCTCCGGTGGCACGATTGTCGTCATCAGACCACATGACCACGTAGCTCATTAACTCCCAGGCCGAACAAAAAGGACGTTTTGTAAAGGAAAAAATTTACAAAATGAGCTTTTAGTTTTTGCATTTGGATAAAGGTATCGTTAGTTGGGCATGTTTTCTTAAGAATATGTTCCCTTCAGGCCATTCTGACAGCATGACCATTGTCCTTTAACTTTATGGATAATTTTATGGTCACAGCTGGGGATGAGATATGTAAGAGGCGATTAGAAGAACAAACATGTTAATGTTAGCATGTCAGAGTTATGGGAGAGGCACAAGATTGTATGACTTGCATGGATTAAAAAGCTTATTCAAAAAGTCATACTTCTCAAATATGATAAAGTTCTTTTAAAATTTACAGATCAGTTTCTAAAGAGGTAGATCTAAGAAAATGAGAACTGCACGTTCCAAAAAATTACTATTTTGTCCATCGAAATTATTATATTATTATAATTATATTTCACGCGTTTGATAAAAAAGTTATGATCGATTTATGACAAAAGAAGAATTTCTATGCTATTAGGTACAAAACATTTACGTGAGAACTACTTGTGGTATGCTTTTTTCCTCCTTTACTCGACAGTAAATCCCCAATCGTAATATCGGGTCTTTGTAAACATCTAAATTATAAAGAAAAATTGGTGATCTGATACATTTAATGAATCTATTTCCAGGCCGCCTGCTATACAAGCCAGTGTAGGTAATCCCATGACGTATTTCACCGCCAAGCTGCCTTTTGACGAGCTGTTCCTGGAGGTTTACAAAACTGTGAGAGAAACCCGAGAAACCCGATCGTCTGCTGATGACTGGGCGGTTAGGGGGTCACTGAAGGAATTCTTTCCAGCATAATGCTAATTAAATCAAGATGCCAAAATGGAAGATGTAAGTCGTAAAGAAGTGACGCAACAGCCAAACTACAATTAAGATAATTAGTTGTATTTATATAGGAAATGGTTTGTTTTTAGTGGTGGTAATAACTTTGTTTATAATACATCAAAGACAGGTCTACCATATGCGGACTTCTTCGATTCATACGAAATGTGGACGTCCATCTCAAAAATCAGTAAGAATGATATAGTATGATACAGTAAATATACTCATGCATGTACGGAGAATTTCTGATTTAGGTGGTTTTAGCTCAGCATAATGGACATCTTAGGGGGATAACTTTATGTTCAAAGTTTGGGAAGAAGGATGTAAAATACGATTGATCCAACGCACGGCGAAAGTAGTGCCCTTTTGCGTCAGTTTTGTTTCACACTTGCCTCACACGTTTGTGGTGACGTACTGACGGCGTACGTCAGTTTTGCTTCCTGTTCTCCTCTTCTTTCTTCTTCCTCTTCCCTTTTTTCCCTTTTTTCTAAGCTTCTTTCTCTTGCCTGTTGGAGGCACATTAGAAACTAAATTGAGCATAAATTTGAAAATTTTGAAAATTGTTGTACACGTTACACAGTCGACGTTCGTTGTAAAGACACGAACGTGAGTCGCG